GCTGCTGCCGTCGCCGTCGCCACCGCCGACACGCACCGACGAGCGCTCCTCGCCAGCTCGCGTCGCAGCCGTAATCGGCTTCTACAGGATTCCCAGCTGACGTGAACGCCTTGTAAGAGCTGCTCTGAATTAAGATCGTTGCCGCCGCCGCCGCCGCCGCTGCTGCTGCTGTTGCTGCTGCGGCTGCTCCTGTGCCGCCACGCCACACCGAGACACACGAGACGAGGTTGTCTGACGCACCACTGGCTCGCGGACGCGCATGAACGGGCACCGATCGCGACGACGTCGAGCGAGCGCTCGAGCACGCGGCTTCCACGACGGGTAACGCGCGACGTTCCCGCAGCACACACGAGAATCGTACAACGTCCTAACCGCGGGAACACCGCATCGCTTTCACGGGCGAACATGGAGCTGGATCCATGCCGAAATAGTTGACGTAATCGGCCGCGAGGCGGCGCGCGAGCGGGGCGCCAACGTCGTGGCGGTAGAGCGCTCAGCGCGGGAGAGAGAAGGAAGGAGAGAGAGATAGCGCGCGCGCGCGCGCGTAGTCGCGTACCAAAATACGGCCTTCGGGGCCGCGCCGCGCCGCACCGCACCGTCCGACACTCCGAGCGCCGCCGACCACCGCCGATGTTCGTCGCCAGGCCTGCCAACGCGATATCGCGTCGCTTGACAACAGCGAATGTCCCCGACTCGCGCCAGATGCCGCCTCCGCCCGGCGCACAACGCGTCGCCACTTAGCCCCATGGATTGCATTCTCGATATCAAAATAATGTACCGTTTCATTCATTAAATTGAAATTAATTCAATTATCCCTTTGCTATATAAATGAGACCTCGTTGGATATGACTTTGGGGTGAATGTACTAAAAATCGTTATTAAAATATTTGAAAATGAAAATGTTCCGGATAATATTCTAAAAGTTGATTTATCTGAAAAAAGAAATTCTTTACTTTCTTTTTCGAACGATTTTTCCTTCTTTATTTTTACTGTTTTTAACAGTTTAGCTAATATAGAGTTAAAATAATGCGGCGATTTTTGGCATTAATCTGATATGATTTTATAGAAACTATATTAAGCCTAAAGAATCACATATATTAATTCTTTGTAAAAAATGTAAAAATTATAATATATTAACGAACAAGAAATATTTCTCATAAATTGAAGACAAAGTCCATTCTGAATTTATTTAGGCAACTGTAATTTGTGAACATTATATAACGATTGTAAACAGCTTTCTAATATATACAGTTTGTTGTAAAAATACCTTTAATATCAATTTGATACTTGTCGATACTTGTTAAAAATTTCATATGTTTGAAAGAATCAATTTTCTTTTTAATAAAGAACATAGAAATATAATACATTAAAGAAAAAGAAAAATAAATATAATTTCATAAATAAAAGACAAAATCCGTTTTAGATTTATTTAAGTGACACTACAACTGTAATGATTGTAAATTTAAAATCAAGAAAAGTAAGAAGAAAATCTCTCTTCTCTTCTAAAATCGAAAACGAATCGATTAACATAATGAATGTATACATTTGGAACAAAAGTGAACGTTTCAAGCTAATCGTTGATCGTTTTATCAAGCCATATTATATAGCAATTGCGAATAAGGTCGATTACTAAATGTAAAATTAACTTTTATGAAAAACGTAATCATTTTACCTCATGGAAAGTAATTGTGTCACGAAAAAAAAAAACATCAATTCAACAAAGACTATTTCTTCTCTTTAGTCAGGCAATCGGATTTCGAGTGAAAAGTTTGATCACAAAGTCAAAAAAAACGACGACTTGAAGGGAAAGAACATTTCTAAAAGCGGATGATTTAGGATGAATCATGAACTACATAAACGGGAAATCGACTCGACGTAGTTGACTTGGCACATCCTCCTCTAAGATTTCTGTAAAGATCATTGATTTTGTGATGATACATTCATATCCGCAAAGTCAAGCGGAATTCGCGAGCAATCTAAACCGGACGTTCATAAACTGAATGTGCGCTAAATTGCAGTATAAATTGCTCGCTAGAGTAATTTGAATCGAAGTCGTGCCGGAAGATTAAAAGAATGTAATTTGCAACGCAATTAACTTCTAAAAAACACATCACTAAGGAATTATGTTAAGTTTAACAATACAACTATTTTTTCTCAAAATATTATTGTGGCGGACATATTTTTAAATAATCACTCTTTCCAAATTGCAAAAATTAATTTGTATTTGCAAAATAGATTTTTACAATTTTGTTGAAAAAATTCATAGACATTACTTATGGAACATAATTATGATGAAGAATAATTTGTAATTAAAATTATTTCAAAAATTTTTATTTAATTTTTATCAATAATTTATTATTATAATTTGAAGTTATTTTTTAAAAAATATGTATTTCCATTATAATTAGTTGGTTAACATAAGCATTAAATAATCAAAAATTTTATTAATGTGCACAAATAATTGCGCTGTAATAAATTACTGGTAAAAAAGATTCTTACATTACATATTTTTTAGAATTTTTATATTTTAAATTTATGAAGATTTAAAAAAAACAAATTTCTTCAGATGTTATAAGTTTTTTTCTCGAAAATCGTAAAATAAAAAATCTTACAATATTTCAGAATTCATATTCTGGAAAAGATGTAGAATTTCTCTGCATTTCTAAAACATGTAAAAAAAATAAAAGTTATAAAATTATATAAAAATTGTAAAAAATTCTGAAGTTTATAGTTAAGAAATTCTGAAAAATTATATGAATAACTGTAAAAAAAAATTACATCTGGAAAGCTTCACAAGATATATCACGTACGATACTAATAGCTTGCGCGACAAGATGACATAACGCTAATAAAACGCTGTTTCTGTAAAAAATATAATACATAAAATCGAAACAAAGAATAATGCAAATAAGTTTTATTTATACAAAATAAAAGATTACGAATGAACGTACGAGACGTTACGAGACAAAACTGTACAAATTGCATGGTATAACATGATGCAATATTCGAGCAGCAATGTGCAACGTGTGCAATCGCTTAGGATTAGCTTGCAGCATACATTTTATTAATAAAAAATAAGATATACAATTAAAAAATAAATTTATGGCCAACAATTTCTAACTCTACATAAAGTAATTTATCGCACAAATAGAGATCTGGTATTATGAAAACATAGAAATATACCTATATAATCAATATATTGAAATATAATAGATAATTTTTACAATATTATCTTCAGGAATCTCAAAAAACAAAATTGATGCCCGCTAATTCCTATAATATAAATTTAATTCGTAACTTTATCATTTTTGTTTTAAATTTTTATTACAATTTCTTTTAAATCTACGTTACATTTTCATTACATTACATATACTACTTTTCTTAATCCTAAAATTATATTTTGTCGGCAGAAATTGTTGTGCAATGTCGTTGTAAATATAATATTAATGACACAAACAAAATAACAAAAGTATCGAAATATATCAACACTTATCATATCTATGAGATCTTACGATGTAAGATTACGTACATGTATATAACCATTTTGATTGTGACAACTCTCATAATAAAAAGAAATTGATGACGATATGATGCTTTTGCAGATACTGGTGTTCTTTTCAGGGGCTGTATGCAAAAGTATTGCTTTCATCAAATACACTTATGTAAAAAGATATTTGAGCATATTTTATGCTATGTAATTATTTTTTCATTGTTGTTCATCATAAATTCATACTTGAATTTTTGATATTTATCCTGAAAATTGTATTCTCTTCACTTTTTATTTAACATGAAATAATTCCATGCACATAGTATCATAGAAATCAATATCATT